CACCTCAGACTGGCGCTGAAACCAAGTCAGCCCAGCTTCAAAACTCTAAATGTTTTGAAACTTTTGAAACATTTTGAGTGCCCTTGTTTTGAAGCTGTTTTGAAGCCATCTGTTTCATTTTGATTTTGCTGTTTCAAGCTCAAAATGTATCAAAACACCTTCAAAATGAAACACCCGGCAAAATTTCACACAGCCCTATTGTATACCTGTCTCTTTTTATTACTTATTCATATTTTAGTTGTTTATATTTTATTTTATTACTTCTTTATTATTTTGGTACATTCATGTGGATTACATGTTCTGGTTAAAATATGCCATCCATTTTTTTCATGCTGATGTTCAATACAGCCATTAGTTACATGGATACAACTATTAAACAAGTCTTTACATTTGTGTGAAATCACTGTAAGTCTTCTGCGCTTAGTTCATCACAAATCATTTATGGTTGTGCACAGGAGGTATCATTCTAACTTGATGACATTTTATATTAATTTTGCTGACATATAACTGTGTACAGATGAAGCAGAAAGAGGCAGGCAAACCAAATCTATTGACTTCCGCAGAGTTACTTCTGTATACTGATGTAAGTTAGATCAGATCCAATTAAAGCTTCCCCCAGTCAATGAGAAGTTGAAAGAAGCCCTGGAAAGTTAACCTGGTCTAGTTGGCCTTCTTTTTTCTATTTGTAAACAATTAATTTTTCTCTGTAAATCTCCACTTACTTCACTCAACACAGGCTGAGCCTCTGAATACATCCCAGTATTCCCCATGACTTTTCAAAAGACTTTCCTTGTCACGTAGGGCCACTGCTATGAAAAGAAGAAGTAATTGGCTAGACAGAGAGCATGTTTTAGAATAGGGTGGAGAGGGAATACATCATTTCCCTTTCAGGATTAATCAGTCAGAAAAGATTAAGCAGTCCTAGGCTGTATTATGTTTTTGATAATGCACCCCTTAATTCTGTCCACCAAGTTCTTGGGGGCAGCCATGGTCCATGAGACCTAATGGAGATGTCCTGCCAGAATGACTGGTCAGGTTGGAGCACAAGCAGGACCAAAGCTGGTACAGAGACTAAAGGCACAGAACCCCCACCCAAGCAGCCTTGTCCATCTTGGCCAGGAGCATGGGGAGCAAGCAGGATGAACTAGAACTCCTGGTTGCAGAGAACACTTACGACTTTGTGGGGTTAACAGAAACGTGGTGGGGCTCTACCCATGACTGGGCAGTACACATTGAGGGCTATAAGCTATACAGAAAGGATAGAGTGGGGAAGAGAGGGGGAGGGGTTGCACTCTATGTCAAGGAGCATTATACATCGACCCTTATCAAAATGGAATAGGAGGAGAAAGTAGAAGAATTATGGGTTAGGATACATGGAGGTCAAGGAGAAAGGGATTTGGTGGTAGGGGTCTGCTACAGACCCCCACACCAAGGGAAAGAACTAGATTTGGAATTCCTGAGGCAGCTCTCGGAGACCATAAAGACTAGGGAGGCGGTAGTCATGGGGGACCTAAACTACCATGACATCTGCTGGGAGATGCAGACATCAAATTCCTACTGTTCACGCAGGTTCCTATCCTGTATGCAGGACCTCCACCTGACACAGGAGGTACATGGTCCCACTAGGGGGAATGCCCTACTGGACCTGGTATTGGCAACAGGGGATGACATGATAGGGGACCTACAGATCAGTGGTCACCTGGGGGACAGTGACCACCAAATAATAGAATTCATCATAAGGCATACAGTGGGTAACGTAACTAATAGGGTGGAAGCACTAGACTTCAGTAAGGCTGACTTCAATGAACTCAGGCGTTTAGTCAATGACGCATTGCAGAGTAGGAGATTTGGCACGATGGGAGCCCAGGAAAGGTGGCTGTGCCTTAAGGAAATGATCCTTTGGGCACAGAGGGAGACGATTCCTTGACCACGACCGCCACATCACGACGAGAGACATGCTGGGATGGGATGGGCTCCACCTTTCCCCTTAAGGTAAGCGTGTGTTCTCTTATAGGCTGGCGGACCTCCTCCGGCGGGCTTTAAACTAGGCTCGCCTGGGGAAGGGGAAGATGAGGGCGGAGGATACACCGGACCGGCACCCGCAACTACAGCTCAGCCCGGACCGACAAGCTTA